ATGGTAAAAAATAATGGTCCCTCAAAGAAAGGTCTCACACTAAGTGTCATCTTACCCCAATGAAACACGAAATCCGTTGCTATGAATTTGTGGAAGAAAAGCAGTCCATAATCAACTTTAATGAGGGTTTCAAGAGAGAATACTTTCTTTAAAAATATTTTCTTATAAAAACATCATGCCAAATATTATGAATTAAAGTTTTCACTTAAATTAATATTGTCCGCAAAAAATAACAGGGCTTACTCCAATAATCCATCCCTAAACGTTTACATTAAGGCTCTTCTTGCCTCGTATGTAAACATTTTTACCAGTGCTGCCAATTTACAACATGACAATAAACCATCGAAAGATTATAACAACCAAAAACAAGTACATTGTAAAACATTGAATCATATAACTTTATTCTCGGTTGTTTGAAAGGCACTTGACTATACTTAGCAGCAAGTTAAAACGGGTACGTAGTGGAAACAGATATTTTGTTTGGGCGTACACACAGTAGTGGAGGCAGGATTTTCTTTAAAGGTTTGACTATTTATTTAATGATTTTATGATGTATTGGATGAAAATGTATGCCATCTAAAGAATAATCCATATCTCCAACATGTTTTCCGTTAATGTATTTGACTTTCATTTCTTTAATTCGTCATCTTTGGAGACGATTGGGACAATAATATGCATGTTTTCAACAAAGAGAGCATTTTTGATATTGATTACGTACAATTATTTTACGTTTTAAAAATGTGACTGTGTATTTAATTTTTCTCAACAAGGAAAAGTGAATGATTAAACTTAAAATGAAAAGTTTATACAATTCACATGAATAATTATAGAACACAATTTGCAAATTGTTGAATACAAATAGATATTTATAAAATACAATAAAAGATATATAACAAATGAAAAAGTTTTCGGAAAAAGTATTTAAAATAAAAATGAAATAATTGCAACGTTTGACATGCCATATTTATGAGTGCATTTAGACATTGAAAAGCATAGGGATGTTAAACCTAAGAAGTGAGGAGCTTCCTGTATGTACGTACATGTAGTTATCGCCGGTGTCTATAACTTGATGGCCTTCGTTGGAGAGAAGTTATATAAAGTACAATTTTATTGTAATGAAGGAGCACCGACTCAATTGAGAAAATAGATTTCACAAAACATTCTGAAAATTAAATAAGTTAACAGAATTTCAGACTTTCAACATTTTCTCTTGATTTTTTTTTCATTTTATAATCTATTCAGTTATGTATTTTACAATTTTATATTTGTAAAACTTTCAAAACTGACAGCGGGTGAAACAAATAAGTCTGTGTAGAATTTGGCCTTGTTTAAGGACATACAAGAACAAAGTAGTTACAATGCACTAACAAATTATCATATACAAGAAAAAAGTAGTTACTAACAAATTATTTATATGTACAATTTATGATGCGTGACATTCTAGATAAATTTCTAGCCCAACGCAATTAGTGTTTCAAAATCAAGCATGAGTAGAACAATGCATGTTATATAAAATCAATCTTTTCAAATCATAAGAATTTTATTAGTGAACTTTAACAGTTCGTAACATACCATCATAAGTTATGCGGAATTCTTCAGGAATCTTTCTTCGTAATTTATGGATTTGTATTGTTCTCGTGACAACAAGTAGTTTCAAAGTATCTGCAAAATTCTCCCACGACAGTCTCCATTTGATAAACATGAACAGTCGTTCATCATTCAAATGTTGGAGCCCTACTATTCAAGTCACTTGATCATCAGAAATATAGGTAGATAAAAAATATAAGAAAAATATAAACATAATCGCAATATTTTTTGCTCCCGTTTACGAAGTTTCGAGGGTATATAGTTTTTGTCGTGTCCGTCCTTCCGTCCTGCTGTCTGTCTGTCTCTCTGTCTGTTTTATGTCTGTATGTCTCTGTGTTTGTCTGTTTGTCCGCAAAATCATTAACCTTTCCCATCACTCGTGCTTAGTGGTGCTATGACTTTCATATTTCAAATGTGTATTTCTTGTGAGAAGACCCATTTTATAGGTACCACAAAATTGACCTCTATCTTGGAGTATGACCAAACTTTTACTTTGGTCATATCTTTTGAACAGTAGGTTCTTTACTTTCATATAGATTTTGTGTGAATAGAACTTTCATTGGATACCAACAACTTTGACCTTGACCTTGGAAATTTCTGTCCTTATAAAAAACTTTAACGTTGGCCACAACTTATGAGCAATAAAGACCAGTGCTTTCGTACTTCACATTTGTAGTCCTTGTGAAAAGGTCTTTTAATTATTGGATACAAAGAACTTTGACCCTTTGATTTTGACATACTTTTAAAAAGCAAACCTGGACCATTACTTTTAAAGGGTTAGGGCTAGTTCATTTATACCATACATATTTAATTCTTGTGACAAGTCCTTTCTTGGGAACCACCAAATTTGACCCTTTGACCTTGACTTTGGAAGGGTAATGGCTTTAGCTTTCATACTTCAAATATTTATTTTTTGTAGCAAGGCCTTTCATTAGATACCAATAACGATGACCTTTTAAACTTGATCGCGTTGATTTCCGTACTTTTTCAGCTCACCTGAGCCGAAAGCTCAAGTGAGCTTTTCTGATTACAATTTTTCCGTCGTCCGTCCGTCTGTCTGTCTGTCCGTCCGTCTGTAAACTTTTCACATTTTCGATTCTTCTCAAGAACCGATGGGCCAATTTAAACCAAACTAAGTACAACTTAGTAGAAGGCATCCTTGGGTAAAAGGGAGTTTAAATTGTTAAAATTAAGGGCCTAGTCCCCTTACAAGGGGAGATACAGTAATCAAGAAAAGACAAAAATAGGGTTGGGTCACTAAAAAATCTTCTTCTCAAAAACCACTGAGCCAGGAAAGCTGAAACTTATGTGGAAGTATCCTTGGGTAATGTAAATATTAAATTGTTAAAATCGTGACCTCTGGGGGTAGGGCGGGGTCACAATAGGGAATCCAAGTTTTACATAGAAATATATAGAACAAATCTTTAAAAATCTTCTTCTCAAGAATTACTGGGCCAGGAAAGCTGAAACTTTTGTGGAAGCATCCTTCGGTAGTGTAGATATTAAATTGTTAATATTATGACCCCCGGGGGTAGGGCATGGCTGCAATAGGGAATCCAAGTTTTACATAGAAATATATAGAACAAATACTTAAAAATCTTCTTCTCAAGAACCACTGGGCCAGGAAAGCTGAAACTTATATGGAAGCATCCTTGCGTAGTGTAGATATTAAATTGTTAAAATCATAACCTCTGGGGGAAGGACGGTACAAAATAGGGAATCCAAGTTTTACATTGAAATGTATAGAAGAAATCTTTAAAAATCTTCTTCTCAAGAACCACTGGGCCAGGAAAGCTGAAACTTATGTGGAAGCATTCTTGGGTAGTGTAGATATTAAATTGTTAAAATCATGACCCCTGGGGGTAGGGCGGGGCCACAATAGGGAATCCAATTTTTACATAGAAATACATAGAACAAATCTTTAAAAATCTTCTTCTCAAGAACCACTGGGCCAGGAAAGCTGAAACTTATGTGAAAGCATCCTTGGGTAGCGTAGATATTAAATTGTTAAAATCATGACCCCTGGGGGTTGGGTGGGACCACAACAGGGAATCCAAGTTTTTCATAGAAATATATAGAACAAATGTTTAAAAATCTTCTTCTCAAGAACCACTTGGCCAGGAAAGCTGAAAGTTATGTGGAAGCATCCTTGCTTAGTGTAGATATTAAATTGTTAAAATCATGACCCCTGGGGGAAGGGCGGTCCAAAATAGGGAATCTAAGTTTTACATAGAAATGTATAGAACAAATCTTTAAAAATCTTCTACTCAAGAACCACTGGGCCAGGAAAGCTGAAACTTTTATGGAAGCATCCTTCGGAAGTGTAGATATTAAATTGTTAAAATCATGACCCCTGGGGGTAGGGCGGGGCCACAATAGGGAATCCAAGTTTTACATAAAAAAAAATAGAACAAATCTTTAAAAAACTTCTTCTCAAAAAACCACTGGGCCAGGAAAGCTTAAACTTATGTGGAAGCATTCTTGGGTAGCTTAGATTTCTAAAGTTTTAAAATCAAAAAAGGGAAGGGGGTAGTGGGGCATGATAAGTATAGCAAGAGGGGGAATCTGATAAAGAACTGCATCACCCAAATTACTCAGGTGAGCGATGTGGCCCATGGGCCTCTTGTTAACCTTGGCCATAACTTTTAATCATTAATTATAAGGGCTAGTGGTCTCATACTTAACATATGCAATCATTGTGAGAAGACCCTTTATTCGATATCAAGAACATTGACTCTTTGACCTTCATCTTAGAGTTAGACATATTTTAAAAAACAAACCTTGATAATAACTTTTAGGGTTAGGACTATTACTCTTATACTTTTCATATATAATCCTTGGGACAAGTCCTTTCATTTGATATCAAGAATGATGACACTTTTCCCTTGAATTTGGAATTTTGTCAAAATTAAGCATTTTAAAGGAAAACAAAGCTTTAGAGAGGAGAGAACAACTTTGGATGTCTCGCCCAAAAGTAACAAAAAGTGGTATATATGGCCATATAGTTACATGGATTTAAAAGAAATTCTTAATCGTTTCCAAGAAAAATATGCATATTTAGATATTAAAAGACTGTATTTTGGAAGGACAATGGCGACCTCACTAAGAAAAAGTGTCATTGCGGCAGTGTTTGATTGCGAAGAACACTTGATTAGAGATACCAGACTGAAAAAAATTGAATCTTTTGATATTGTATACAGACTTTGGAAAGATATCCTAACTGAAAATATAAATACAGAAAACGTGGACGCCAGCGAGAGTTTATTTGAACAAGAAGCCGCTGAAAGTATTGAAAGAGTTATATCAGAAACGAGCATCGAGGTTATGGAGAATCACTCGAATATTGAAATAATAAGTGGATCTTCTTTCAAATCAAGACGTAATGGAATCGAGATAATTAGGCGCTGTTCCACTTGGCGAAAATCCTTTCCCAACAATAATTGAAAATTTGCCTGTTGATTTACGGGAGGGTCTCTTTTTCCCATGCTCCAATGGAACGTCGTACTACAAAGAATCATCTGAAGAATTCATTAATCTACGTATGGGATGTACTATTGGGACTGCAGGTATTTGTTAATTATAGCAATTAAAAGATGACGGGTTTTTTATTTAAAACAGAAAAAAGTCAACACAAGATATTCGGTTTGCTTCACATGAATACCAAAATAGGTCTGCTAATAACGTTGCGCAATTGGTACCCATGGGAATTTTAATAGATTGTTAGAAGACCTGGTCTTAAAAAACAACATCAGAATATTCTTTCACCATATTATTTTTCAAATGACCGATGACATTGTAAGTAATTTCAATTTTATAAATAGAATTGCAGTGTCCATATTTTGCTTCGGGGGACCCAAAATGTGTGTCAAAAAGTAAAATAGGAGTTCACAATCAAAGGTGCTTGGTTTCAGGATGGTGTTTTTGTGTATTCTTTTTTTTTTCTAGGTGTGTCTTAATACTCTCAATAAAATAAAAATGAAAATTCGCCGAAATTAGCAAGTTTTAAAAATATCAAATTTACTGTATATAAAAAGAGTAAGGAGGGTCACTCGCCAATTTTGATTTCAGGGAGTGCCTCGGTTTACACTTGATTTAAATCAATATTTACATTTTACCTACCGATTTCGGTGAGATCTACCTTAAAAAATGATTGAATGACACCTTTAAACGTCTGCCGATTTGAACCTGCCGTATAAGACATGCAGTAAACCCAAAACTTCCACTATATCAAGTACAGAAATTGAAAGCAAAGGTCGTGTCGATTTCTAACGATGAAAAATGAAGAGGCGTCCCGTAATTAAATGGAAAATCTAGAGAGGTCAGAAACCGCGCCAAACTAGTTTGTACTTGAACGTGAGAATAATGACATATAATTTTACAGGTGGAACTGCTTCTGGAACATTGGGGGGATTTGTAGACTTAGGACAAGGAGACGTAGGTTTCATTACCTGCGCTCATGTCTTGCACGAAAAACTACCAATTATCAAGGAAATTATGACGGCATCCTTTTCTGTTGTGCAACCAGACTTTGGAAAATGTGGAACAAATAAAATTTGTGGACAACACATTCGAGCTGTCTGTCCGTTTTCAAGGGGACCTAATGCAACATCCGTTGATGAAGCTTTGGTAAAAGTATCTTCGAGCAGGAAACCAGTAAATGGTTTGTTTGCTGGATTACATGTATCACCGAAGCAAGTGTGTGAAGCAAGTAGCAAACTTTACAATATACTTATTAGTATATGAGTATTTTAATATTTCTGATCATTTTTCATAGATTCAATAAATTTTATAAAATATAGGTAAACACACATTGTAAACAAAGACCTAACAATGAATATGTGTACATGTATATCGTTTATAACATCAAGAATAGTATTCCTTTTTTGCAAGACGGAATAATTCTATATACATTGTACTAAGAAAATCGATTCACAAAGACAAAATGAAAGAAAAGAAGTTCACTCAATTCAAATGTCATTCTGAATAAATAAATCGAAGAAAACAACTTGCATCCTTTTATAATCAATGTCAGAATTTTTTTTTTTTATTTTTTTTTTTTTTTTGTAAAATCAGAGTGAATTATAGCAAAGTAATTTTGTTCATCCCAATCACAAACAAATCGGATTTAAATAAACAGCAGGCATGTTTACGAAGCTATCTTCGAACTAGGAAATGACTTATGATATACTTACGACACTTCTTAAGACTAAGTGGGGTTTTTGAAAGTATCGTAACTTAAGAAAATTCATAAGAATTATCTGTAAGTTACGACAGCTTTTGACTTATCTTAAGTCTATCTTAAGCCCAAAAAAAAATCCGCGTCCATGTTTTTGCAGGCTCGACGAAATCGTTGTATCGATCAGACGTGACAGAGTATTTAGAGATGCGGGAAGAATTGTAGGAACTGATTACAGTAAATCGGGACCGTAAAAGACAGTACTAATGCTCGAATCAGAAATCATCTTCTCAAAGGACGTTCAGCTGTGAAAATTACCACTGCAATATAGATTTCGTTTTATGTACTACATGTAGTACTATTAATTTTTGTTGACATGTTTACAAAAGCAAATGTAATACAGCTTTACTAATAAATGACAATGAGCACTATTAATATTTCTCTTCATCTAAAAGTTATTAATTTTTGCAACCTAAACGCTGAATACGTCTTTAAAAATCATGGATTTTTTTTTATTTGTATATCATGTGTTTTCTACAGATGAATTATTAAACATCAATACAGGTACTGCATTTACACATGATAGGGATGAACATGTAGCATCGGTTTTGAAAGGTTAAGCCGTAGAAAAAAATCCAACTTGCAAAAAAAAAATTGACAAATTAAATAAAGAGAAAATTTTCTAGCTCGAAAATCCTATTTCATTTTGTGGAGGAGTAGGTTAGGTTCTAACTTCTTTCAGTGCCTTTTTTTCATACACTACTGCTTGACTACACATTACCTTTACTTTACTGTATTACAAAAATAGTTCATTGGGAAGGGGCGGTCTTTCAATCAACATTTATCCCCATTTTAAATTTCATGCCTGCATGCATCTATTTTCCAAGAATACCCATTATGAGAATTCTTGTGAAATTCAGTGCCTCACGCAGATGCACAACATACATGGTAAGATGTAACCTGTTAACAGTCAACAGACCTGTTCACAGAAATAAACTATTTAATTTCATTTAACAAGAGAGAGAGAGAGAGAGAGAGAGAGAGAGAGAGAGAGTTAGATTATATGGTTACTATGATTTTTTTGGTAACCTCACAGGTGTTGATACCGCCCCCTATGCCAGAAATAACAGTACAAATAGTCACTCCAACAAATGGCGCTGTGTTCCTCAACCTCATCAAGCAGTATTTCGATTTCAATCTAAGAAATATTAGGGCTCCTCTTTCGACTCATCTTGCTGGGTGTTTTCATGTCGAACAAGAGATTTTCAATGAATAAGAGCTCCAAGGAGAAAATTGGCACGCTTTTCATCGTTCAAGAATTATAAATGATCGAATGGCATTTGATTAAAAATGCAACTAATATTAAAGTATGTCGTGAAACTAAGATGATTAATAATTAAAAGAATATTATTTACATGAATAAATTAATTTTCTTTATATTTTCACTTTTTTAAATATGTTTATTGTGATTACATAACGTATAGCATTGATATATTGCAAACAATGACAACTCTGATTTCTTGACAATGGTATAAAGCTTTGCATATTTCTATGTCATATTGATTTAAGACGTCTTAGCTTATGATAATCATAAGCTTAAGACAGCTTTGAAAACACTTAAGATAATCTCACTACGATGATCTTAAATTTTTCTTAAGAAGATATGTATTAGGAAATTTCTCATGAACAATTCGTAAACATGCCTGCGGTTGACTATGATATCAAAAGACATAGATATTAATGTGTTGTAAGGAATAGTTAAGTTGAATCTTTTCATATTATTTACTTGAAATGTTTTGAATACTTATCGGAAATTTGGAGAATCCCCCGTGATTTACAATATTTTTAGAATATATTGAAACATAGTACGACTGATCGGAGTGCCTCCTTGTAAATATTTTTAGGACGTTCAAAGTTTCTTTTTAGGTAGATAGGGTAGTTCGAATTTGTCTTGCTTCACTGGAATAATGAAATTAATAAATATTGATTTTGAAGAAAATCATCCTTAGAAAGAAAATATGATGGAAATCTTAATACATGTAGATTCTGTAAATGAAGCATCCTTATCACAGATACAAAACTTTGATTGGATTTTTCCATGCAGTATGTTGGAAATGGTGCATTATATTACCGTAACATTCTCAAAATAACCATAACTGTGTTATTTCCCTTACATCTACAAAACAGTATAATACATTTATCACGATACTTTTAGAAATAGTTTTGATAGTGCCTTTTCCTTTACCTGTACACAACAGCATGTCAATGCCTAGGATCTCTGCTCCCAACAGAAAATGAAAAAAAATGGGATATTATTCTATAACTTTGAAATTAAAGTCTTTACATTTAACATGCTTTAAATGCTGTAAGTATACTATGTTTTTAAGTATTTTCGACTTTAGTAAATATAACGACATTAATTTAACAAAATTCTTGAAATCCATTTGGTTTGAAAAGGCTCGTAGCAAGCAAAACTAATTAACCACGGCTTACTATGGATAAGATCAGGACGTTCAACATTTTTTTTTTTAATTTCTTATTTTCGAATAAAATAATCCTATAATAATAAATACATATAGATATTAACATTAATTAAATATTTTATATTTGGCTCTGACACCCAGTAGATTCTTTTATTTTGTTGCAATTGCAAGAATTCTCTAAACCGTTTTGCTTTTTGTGTCTAACTTATGGAATTGCATTGCCTCAAGCCACGGTCCAAAGTCTGCATATAGCTCTCTCCAGTATGGGAGCTAGATCGTACATTTTGGCCGTGGTTTGCGACGATGATGGAATTGTAGAATAAAGATCTAGAAGTAAATATTTTTATATATTTTTAATATTTATACTCTCGTTTTTGAATACTTACGATATATATGTAGCATAAAAAAAGTTATTTAAATGATTTATCATTACAGGGTTTAACATAGAGAAACCGCCTTCATTTAGTATTGGGGAGATCAGAGATCTGCGTGGAAGCATTTCAAGTGAACACAGATTCAAACCGTGCTTTAAAGTAGGTGCAGAATTTGGTCTATCTAAAGGAAGTCTACACCTTAACTGCACGGCTGTTCGGTTAGTATCTGGTACATTGAAACGACAGCCTGTCAGTTGCTGTATATATATATATATAAACTCCTTCAAATTAAGCCAGATATTGATCAAAGCAAGGTGATTCGGGAGCTCCGGTTTTTCAAGTTGATACTGGCGCTTCACCGGAAGAGGATCGTTTTGTCTGCATAGGAATTGTGATTGGTATGACAAACAATCTTACTGGCCATTGCTTTGTGATGCCTATTAAAGAGATCTTAGAACAACTCAGGCTTCCAAATGTAAATTCATTGTATACATTTGAAGAAAAAATGGATTGCAATTGATCCAAATGTATTTGTAAAATTTGATATTCACCGCTCATATATTTCAGTCACCTTTGAGCTTTTCATTAAGAAAAATAAACCTAATTTTGGTTTATTTTGAGACAATTTTTATCTCCCAATTTCATGTTCCTAATACAGATAAATTATAATCAATTATAACAAAAAGCTAAAAATTGTTTGAATCGAAATGGCTTACTTATTACACTGGTAATTTAGCGGTAAACATCAAAAGACTAAAAGTTAATTTGATGGTGGCCATGAGTGTCAAACAAAATGAAAGAGTTATACACAAGAACTAGTAGCTTAATGTCAATCAATTTCAAGTACCCAATAACGGATCTTAATTAAGGTGATTGACAAAGGAAAAAAGATCAGGTAAATCTGAGGGTGGTGCTTTTTATCTTGGGCTTTAAGATTGACAGTCGATGGTATGGCATGTTTAATCCCTTTCAAGGATTCTTTTAATATGAATAGAATCGCAGCAGTATGGTTCATGATGAAAGTAGTTATTGCATTTTTCGTGTTAAACAATCTTTTTTTTTTCCAAAATACTTCATTAAAGACTTTATCATTCATTTATTTTAAGGGTACTTACCACAAACAAAAAATGGATGCGCGGCTTGATTCATATTTTTTGACTGATTTTGATTTGTATTGATATAAATAATAAATCACTGAAATATAAAGAAATCGTAGGTTTTCCTTGGTGCTTAGATTTGAGATTTTATTTTGCCTTCTATATAATTCCATACAAATTTTTGCACATTTTTTTAACTTTATGACAAAATCTTAAAAAATTCTCCCACTCTATTTGGTAAACATTATTCAGGTTGTCAATTTAAATGAAAAATCTATGAGAAATAATGCTGATTTCTGAAAAAAAAAGTTTGTGTTATTTATCATTAATTTAATTTAATTTTGTTTGTATTCTAGCCTATCATTGGTTGATTTTCAAAAAGGAATTATGTTCAAAGCAAATTATTATGTATAATCTTGTTTTATATGGGGACACACACCCTTGGTAACCAACTGAATCATCGGTATCCAAGCAATCCCCTAATTTCTAGTCCTCGGGATCCATGGAAAATTCCAGATTCAATAAATGTACCTTTAACATCAAACAGTTACTCTATCTTACCTCATGTAAAAAAACATCATGACTGCTAGATCAATGTATCAGTTATTACCTCCCCTTGCTTCCCATCACTTCCGTTACTACAGTTGTAATATTGTATTATTCACAGCGGTAAATTTGAACTCATAAAAAGAAGACAATTTTACACCAAAAGTTGTTACATTATTTTAAAATAAAATAATAAGGAATGACTCTAATTCTTGGTCAAATGTTTGGCCATTAATTAAAGTCATTCCTTAATTATTATATTTATTTCTGCTTTTTGGTCATACAATATTATGGATGTTTTACATAGTTCTAAAACTATTTAATTTTTGTGACTCTTTTGTGGACCCTTGATTTGTTTTTACAGAGATATATATACCGGTATATAGATTGCCTTGACTCAAGAAGGATTTTTTTAAACTTTTTAAACATATCTGTATGTTTTCATGTCTAAGACATCAAAGATCATTGTAAATATAGAAGATATATAGTCTCATTTGGCGATAATTTTTTGTTCGGTATAATCCTGCATTGCTTATATAGTGGAATGCATTTAATATTTGAAAATATCTCCTTCTCTTCTCATAGACCTAAAGCAGATCAGGTATTTCTGATAGTGCCGATTTGTTTTTTTTATTTACTCACCGTATACAACGGGTAACGCGGGGGAGTTCCTAAACAGTATTGGGAGGAAGTCGTTTTCAGCGTATCGAGGAGTATACCAGCTGTATTCTTTCACCGATTCTGAATCAGGAGAGATGTAGCTCATGTCTTCTTTCGGTAGTTGTAAGATTTTTACAAAAAACAAATATCCCAATGATGCAGTAGTTAAGTTTTGTCTTAGTCATTTGTCGGCTGTAGCTTAGTCTTCTAAAACACTTTGATATTATCTGACAGATTTCATATTTACAGTGACCCAGTGGTAAAAACATGCATGACACAATTTACGACTTGCATAGGGCTTCTGACAATTAAAAACAGCAAAAGTAAACATTTATTTTTTAAGTATGTATTCCGGATAGGGCTACTCTGTTCACCATCACATCATCGCACCATCGAAGTTTAGGTCGATAGCGCAATGACGCGATGGTGCGATAACGATGAAGCGATGGTATAGTAGCGCGATGACGTGACAATGCTATGACTATGGTACGATGGCGCGATGGCACAATAGAGATGATATGAAAGTGTGATGACGATGGTTTAATGGTGCGATAACGCTGAAGCAATATTCATTATCACTTCATCTTGTTTTTGCTTTTTTTTTCAAATTATCGCGTCATCGACCTTAACTCGATGCTCTATGGTGCGATAGTGAACTACATGGTCCTATCTATGGAATCCGGATAGGGCCATGCAGTTCACTATCGCATCATCGCACCATCGAGGTTTGGGTTGGTAATGCGATGACACGACGATGCGATGACGATGAAGCAATGGTGCGATAACGATGAAGTTATGTTGCGATAGTGCGATAACGATGAAGCGATGGCGCGATAATGCGATGACGATGGTACGATAGCACTATGAAGCTATGCTGCTATGACGCGATGGTGCGATAGCGATGACACGATGGTGAGATGACGATGGCGCGATGGTACGTTGACGATGAAGCGAATTTCTCTGTTACACTATCGTTCTATCGCACCATCGTCATTACATTGTCGCGCCATCGCATCATAGTCATCGCACCATAGCTCCATCGTCATCGCGCCGTCGCATTATCGCGCCATCGACCTTTAAGTCAATGCTGGATGGTGCGATAGTTAAGTGCGTGGCCCTATCTGGATTCCATACCTATCACTATTCAAGACCATACTGTATTTATGTACCACAATTATAAGACTGTAGCCTGACTGTTTTGTAGGGGGCGAGGGGATGTCAGGGAAAGCACAATGCATATGTATGGAATCCGAATAGGGCCATGCAGTTCAAAATCGCAACATCGAGTATCAACTAATAGGTCGATGGCGCGATGGTGCGATAACAATGAAGCGATGATGCAATGACGATGGAGCTTTGGTGCGATACCGCGATGACGATGGTGCGATCAAGCGATAAAGCGATGATGATGCAATAGAACGATGGAGTAAAAGTGAATATTGCCTCATCGTCATCGTACCATCGCGTCATCGTCATTGCACCATCGTGCCATCACTATCGCAACATCGTGTTATCGCACCATCGCCATTGCTTCATCGTTATCGCACTGTCGCAATATAACTTCATCGTTATCGCACCATTGCTTCATCGTCATCGTCATCGCATCATCGTGTCATCGCATTATCAAACCAAACCTCGATGGAGTGATGATGTTATAGTAAACTGCATGGCCCTATCCAGATTCCATATTTCTCTGCATTAAACTATATCTTTAAATCATGGAATTCAGATAGGGTCATGCAGTTTACAGTTGCACCATTGAGCATCGATTTAAAGGGCAATGGTACAAGTGGGATAGCGATGCAATGGCGCGATAATGCGATGACGATGGTGCGATATCACGATGGAGCGAAAGTGAATAACACTTCATCGTCATCGCACCATCGACATCGCATTATGTGTCATCGCTATCGCACCAAAACGTCAACGCGCTATAGCTTCTTCGTACTATTGCATCATCTCATCGCATTTCTGCACCATCACGTAATCGCACTATCGCCCCATCACACAATAGCCCCATCGTCATTGCGTTATCGCGTCAAAGCACTATCGACCCAAACCTCGATGTGCGATGGTGCAATAGTGAACTGCGTGGCCCTATCCGGATTCCAAATTATTTCGATATTTGGTTCCTTTATTTATGCCGTTACAGCAGGGATTTTTCTCTCTGGCTTTAGTTGATTAGGAAAAAAAAGAACAAATGCTTGTCTATGGTAAATAAAAGGAGTAAAAAAACAAGAGGCCCTTAATTTTGAACAGAACATATACAATTGTACGTACAAGAAGAAGTTTTTAAGCCAATGCTTACAAGTATTACCTCCGCTCTGATGTAAATATACACCCTAAATATGATATTTACACAAGTTCATTTATAGACAGACGCACGGTAATCAGAAAATTGACATCAGATTAAACAAATATGATTCCCTCCATATGACATGCCTCATCAAATAATGTGCTAAATTTAAAAACCTCGCTGCTGAGAAAACGCGACGAAAAGTTGTTATGTATGACAAGTACAGACGCATGGATAAATATGAAGTTGAAATCGGATTTGAACAAAAATTATTCCAACCGTATGGCATGTCTCAGCAAAAAATGTGCTTAAATTTCAAGCAACTGCGATGGGTAGTTGTTAGGAAAACTCCTACCAAACATTCGTTACGGACACCCAGCTACAATTAAATGAACAGATACAAAAGCGCAAGACAGTATACCCCCTCATCCATCGGGGCAAATTAAGATTGCGACGTTGTTGGGTGAACGCAAAAAAACTATTTGCTCTTCATAGAAATTAGTCTGTGTGATTAAGACGTCGTTTTCTTTAAACTCAGGTATTCCAAAGTTTCCAAGTGGTTTTTCTGATTGCCATATCCCCATGTAAACATCTGAACTCTTGTTGTTCTTAGAACGGATCGAACTTTGCGTAAGCGTTCAGTGACTTTCGTCTTTGATCCTTTTCTCAGATTATGAATGGAATATGCAAGAACGCCTACATCAACCATAATTGACAACGGAGGCAAAATTGCATCGGCTATAGTTACTGCTCGTAAAATCACGCGGGCTATGATAATAGGAAACCCACCAAGCATGCGCAGTGCTCCAGTTGCTGCTTGAACTACTGTTGGAGCTACGCTGTCTGCATCTTCCGTAGTAAATTTGTCCAGCTCGTCTTGAAGTTCTCTGAAAGACTTTTCCATACATCGAGAATTCTCACGCAAATTCATCTGATAGCATTCCAGCCTAGATATTGCCTTTCTAGATAAAACGAACTCGGTGATTTTGGTTCCTATTACTGTTAAACTGCCAAGTGTTCCAATGACGCCTGCTGCAACTGCTAAACCAAGGGAAACTCCTGCAGTGAATGGCGCTGTTACTAATCCAGCAATTGCCAAAGATGATCCCGCAATTCCAACAGAGGAACCCACGATACTTGAAATGTTAGCGTTTTGCCTTCGACCCTCTAATGTATCAATGATATTGTTGCAAAATATTTCAAGTGCCACGTTGCATCTCAACCAGTTGTCAAGACGCAGTTTTGCTATAGTCAGTTTGCTCTTAACGTTGTTCATGTCAGAGTAAATCATAAAATCTGCAGAGAAAAAAAAAGAAATTAAAACACATCTGTAAATAAAAATACGCCACATGGAAACCTTTTCAATGCTTATTCAAATGCAATTTATCCAGATAAATTTTGTGATTAATGAATCATTCGGGAAATCTGCAGCGATTTTTTTTTTTTTTTTTTTTTTTGAGATCCACTTATTTCATTGCATTTAAAGATTATCGTGAATAATAGTTTGTTCATTTTATCTAGATTGATTTTAAATCATTTTAAAATTATAGTAACCTGACTTTTCTTCATGATTATGTTCTACCGAAACAGTCAGTGGTGGATCTTTCAAACAGTTGCACAGTTGATCCTTTGGTACAATTCTATGATATTGTCCCGAAAAAGTTCGATAGAGAGTTATATAATACTTAGATCTTCTTGATTCATCGGAAACGCATTTGTGGACTGAATTTTCTCCTGCAAGATATTGACGTCTTCGAGCAAAATCAGTAGGCAGTTTTTTCCTGTTTATCTGAGAAAAACGCATCCATTTGGTTTCCAATCTTTGTTCATTGATTTCAGTAGAGAGTACATAAATTGCAACTTGAAAATGAGTTGCTACTGCAAAAAGTTCTAAATCACCCAAATTCATCCCATCTTCGATACGATCAGCAAAAAATTCTGCACTTTCTTTGACTAGTGTTTCGTGAAATCGGAGAAAATCAAAAGTACGGTGCTTCCGATATCTAAAATTTTCTAAAAATTCTGAATCAGAGTTTTTCTTTTCATTCATCAGCAGATGGCCATAAACTAATGGATTTTCCTTGATTTCTCTGACTATTTTCATCATGATCATTTGAAATTGCTTTTCGTTTCCAAACATTTCTTTGCTTATGCAGCGAAAAAGAGAATAAGCATAATCAGACATTTCATCTATCAGATAATCCTTCATATCCTCTCTTTCCATGATTAGAAGAACCTCGGAGTACATTGGAATTACTCCAACTCCCTGACGAACATCATCACTAAACATATTATCTCTGGGTTTCTCTTCCATAAACGTCACAAGTGGCCAATGACGTGTTTCTGATGACACTGTACTGTTCTTTACTTGCATAAGTTCTATAAATAAATAAAACTGAACATTCAAATACTCAATTAATATAAATACAAATAACATTGATCTTTCTTTAATGTTATTAATAGATTACTAAAAACATCTTTACATCCAGAACGTTTCGATACTATTATTTTTTTTAGAATTCAAAATGACTAACCATTTGATGACGATTCAACATATGGGTGAACATGGAGACAATTGCAACCATTTTTTGGCACAATTCTGTCAAAGTACCCACTAAATGCATTGTACAGTATGGTCATATAGTATCTACAAGCAGGATTTCGTGCTTCGTTGCATTTCCTTGGTGAGATTAAAACCCATTGCACTTTTTCAGAATACAAAAACACATATATAGGAATTCCTGTCCAATCAGTAACAATCTCTAAAGATTTTTGAACATCATCATCAGCTGCAAGACTATATGTACATGTTTATGTTTAGAAAATATAAAGTACACTGTCATTCAAGTGTTTTGTATTAAATGTTAAAAACAAAATAATAATAACACAATAAATAAAAGACAGAAAGAAGTGATAGATCTGCAATTTCGTGCACATAAACCATGGAAGAATGAGTGTTGTAATCTACGCGTCGTTCCGATCAACTCATAATTCGACATGTCCCGAAACGATTGGTTATAATTACGCCTCGATAAATTGACTACATGTGTTATGTTCCTAATAATTTAACTCTGTTTAAACAACATACAATCAATCAAACTTCTATTAAAGAAGCACTACACTTAAATGTCCATCTATAAGTTGGTTGTCTGGCAATAAAGACTCGTGATTTTGTAGTAACGCAATTTCTAAATTAAACTTTGATGGCCCATTGTGGCACCAACCTACCCTTGGGGGTCATGGTTTTAACAAACTTGAATCTACACCAACTGAGGATGCATGTTATTGCACTTTTTCGCATCTTTCTTTGCCCAGTACGTAGTTGGCCCAAAAAAGGGGGTTTTAATCGATTCCCTTATTTTTCACTTTTTATATTCCCTCCGCTTAGAAGAGGCCCTAATTCAAACAAACTTTCATCTTTCTTCGACCATTATCACGGCCAGGAACACGTTAAGTTCCAAGACAGTACCGTTGTCAGAAACCTTTAAAGTTAAGCACTGAAAATGGCTCGTTGTCATGAAAATACAGGTAAGGTTATGACAAAAACTATCCAGTGTCATTACTTGAGAAGACAGGTCGTGAGCAGTTTTTCATTTTTTAAGTTAAATAATTTCAACCAATGTCTGAAATTGCAATGGGGAACAGGAATGACTCCCCTTTTGGTGTTGTATGACTTTCAGCCGTTAAAATGAAGTAATAAAAGAGGAGTTTGCGTTGGCGATATTAAACCCTGGTGAAATCAAACGTGGATATCATTCATTTTCCTTCTGAGATGTTATATTTTTTGTAAATAGAATATTACATATATACCAATTGATGCAGTCAGTATCAAGACATGTTATTAGCCTTTACAGAAAAAAATAAAACAACAATGTCAAACTGAAAATTTTGATTTATTATAATTTATGTCCGTTGTCATACCAAGATACGAAAATTCAGTCCGTTGTCATCGGTCCGTTGTCGCTATTTTACTGTACGTTTACATTATAGGAAGGAGGTCGATTCAGTTTTTTTTATGCTGTGATAAATTTCAAGCATGTCTTCGGTAAATGGGTGAACTAATTAGTCATAAGAAACTAAAGGTTTGCTATTTTCTATATTTTATATAATGTTCAGCTTTTGTTTGTCATACATAAGGGCTTAAGCCTTTTTCCTTAAGGACAGCCGAGACGTTCCTTAATATTAGATAAAATTTTCAAAGATTTTATCATTAGGTATTGCTGCTTAAACATGTTTACCCACAAAAAATAGAGGTACCTTACCAGGCATTTCTTCAAGATACCAGGGGTAGTTTTCCTTTTGGGAAGAAAATTATTTTTCCTATTTCAAATGTGTAAGTGTTTGGATTTTTTAAAAACCTTTAGAAACTGGTTTAGAAATCAGAATGTTATTAAAATTTTGAATATTTTTCATACAGTACGAAGACATACAAGACAGATATTGAGGAACGTCTCGTCTGAGCTTAAAAAACTAATTTCAAAGTGAAGGAAGAAATATGCACGCTAACCCACGATTCCCGCCTACATTTTGCACTTATTTTATTCAAATTAATGGCAATTTTGCCATAAATCGGTTTTATACAAAGAACAGTTCAATGGTAATTGATGAATTGTTTTAATACCAGCGCTAAATAGAGAATCATCCCTTTTTCCAACTGTTAAAAAAGGCCGGGGGGGGTTGAAGATATTCTCCATTGAAAGATCAACATATTGTCCCACGCTTGAAAAGTGGGGGATATATTAGTTTGGGTCTGTCCGTCCGTCTAGCTGTCTAGCTCTCCGTCCGTCCGTCCGTCCGTCTTTCGGTCTGTCTGTAACACTTTCGTTTCCACACGATATCTCGAGAACCCTTTGAGCCTTGGCAATGAAATTTTGCATAGCAACTCCCTATGGACTAAAAAAGAACCCTATTGATTTTGAGGTCAAAAGGTCAAAGGTCAAGGTCAAATTCGCAAATTCTGTCTGTTATAACACTTTCGTTTCCGCGCGATATCTCAAGAACCCTTTGGGCTTTTGCAATGAAATTTTAGATAACACTTCCTATGGCCTATGGAAGACCCCTATTGATTTTAAGGTCAAAAGGTCAAGGTTCCAGGTAGTAAATTTATACATTCTGCCTGTGTGTAACCATGGTAAGTATCCGAAGGTGTAACATTTAATAGATTTCTCATAGCGGCATTAATTGAATTATCTGTGATAATTTTGTTTTTATTTATTTATTTATTTTTTTTTTTTTTTGAACGATTTTTGCCTGAAAACATATCTTTGATAATATTGTTTTTTGTCGATTTTTGTCTATAAAGTACAATTCATGTATAAACATACCCCCCCCCCCCCTTGAAACACAAAAAGCTTTGGTTTGAATTTTTAAAAAAAACAGTCCATATTACGTGTAAAAAATAATTTTTGTTTCACGGGGGGGGGGGAGTATTTTTCGTTTTTCATTGAATTTTATTGTGAAAAACAAAAGTTTTACCAAATTTTTATAGTTATCCCACTTTGTTTTCCCAAATAAGTAATGTTTTATGAAAAATTATATAATTATCTGTAAAAAAAAAATATTAAAAATCCTTCGAATATGTTAACTTTTGAAAATTAACTTGGCGGTAGGCGGAAGAACAATATGTATTCAAATTTATATTATTCTATTATTATGTATTATATTATATTATATTAATCTTTGAGGAATTATTCCAAGATTTTATGCAAACGTAAAATTAAGAGCTATGTATCTCAATGTAAAAGATTCCAGTCATTGGTTCATATTTCTCTTCATTTTGAATAAATTTCTTTGCCTATTCAAAAAAATCTTTTAGGAGTAAGATCCTCTGTCTACCGTTTACACCAACCGTGTGCTCCTTGTCTTAATCGGGAAATACGAGAATACCGGGAAAAATCCGTCGATGAGTAAAAATTGGCCTAACAATTACTATGAAAAACGTCAGTCAGCATTTGACTCCATGATAAATTGTTGCTGACAAGATCACTGCTTCGACCAAGGAACATTTGAAATTATGAATTTTATAAAACAAGACTTTTGATATTCTTGTTTCAGCAACTTGTTTGTCAATAATTTCATACGTATTAAAAACTTCTGTATTTTAAGGACATACGCAACGTACCTTACCTGGTGATAAATTTTCAAGATATTCTTAATTAAGACTATAGTGTTATCAGATGTTCGTAGAAAAAAATTAACATGTATTACCAGGGTTTTTTGAAAGATATCAAATGGTGAAAATTCTTAGACGATTCAAAGAAAAATATTTAAAAAATACTAAACATATATTCTAGATGTTTCTTTTATCCAAAATTGTTTTAGAAGAAGTGTACAACACCATATATAGAAATTAAAATATAACACACAGTTCCTTCAAGAATTGGAACTCTTCAACTCCATGGGAAAAGACAAAAAAGTTCAAACTACGTTGCGAGTGACCTTAAAGTACGTGTAGATCGAACATTTTATTTTTGTGTTACTGATAATATTTCAGGAATTGCTATACATTTGCACTCTAGTATGAGAAAGAATTGACTAAAAAACATCACAGAATGGTTAGCACGTTGGCATATTTACACTACTCCTAAGACGACCCCCACCCCCAAAGATTCAAAATGTTCTGCAATATGCTTTTTCTTTCTTAAGAGCACATATACATTTGAACATTTTTGTTAAATACATATTTATTGATCAGTCTGACTAAAACCAGCACTTACTATTTCACTTCTAACAAAGTGAAATAGTAGGGACTGGCTTTAGTCAGACTGTTTTATTGATAAACATATGTTAAGAAAAAGACACCGGACTAGAAAAACTTAACATGTACTGACAACGGACTTTTTGCTTATAAATTGCGATTTCTTAAAGCCTGCTATCAAGAATAGGCTGTCAGTTGCCTAACACATATAAAATTAAGTTTTTCTTCAAAATTCAAAATAAAAGGACCATTTTGATAAATTTTACATAAGAAAATATTAAATGTTCAGGCTGACGATCATGACTTCACACATGGGCATATGATTGCCAACGCAAACTCCTCTTTTATTACTTTATTATAACGGCTGAAATTCATACAACGCCAAAAGGGCTATCAGTTCTGTTCCCCATTGCAATTTCAGACATTGGTTGAAATTATTTAACTTAAAAAATGAAAAACTGCTCACGACCTGTCTTCTCAAGTAATGACACCGGACAGTTTTTGTCATAACCTTACCTGTATTTTCATGACAACGAGCCATTTTCAGTGCTTAACTTTAAAGGTTTCTGACAACGGTACTGTCTTGGAACTTAACGTGTTCCTGGCCGTGATTATGTAGTTGGCCAAGACAAAAGGGGTTTTATATAAAAGTTGCTTTTATTTTTTCACTTTTTCCTCCCCATGGAAGAGGGTCTTGTCCTACATTTAAACAAACTTAAATTCCCTTTAGCCATGGATATATTGTGTCATGTTAAATTGATATGGCCCGCGCCGGTAGTTCAGGAGAAAATGAAATTGTGAAAAGTTTTTAACAACGACATAGACGACAGACAACGGACTAATAATCAGAAAAGCTCATTTGAGCCTTAGGTTCAGCTGAGCCAAGAAAAGGTTTCGCCAAGGGGATCTTCAGAGTTAATTTAGGTATATTTTATTTTAAAGT